CCTGTCAGAGTTCCCATCGTGGTATCAGAGGGGGCACAGGAGGCCGAGCTGGGATGAAGGGCACTGCTGTGCAGCCACTCATGGACGAGAGCTGAGAATAAGCTTGTGCATCACTGATGCTGTGGGGATGGCATCTAGAGGTGCTTTTGGTGATGGCTGGGGGAAGGAGGACTGCTTCCCACTCCTGGGATCACCTCTCTAAGTACCCAGGTACATGTCCAGGGGGGTGGCTACTGCTCTGAGAGTGACTGCCTGAGCTGACTGCACGATGTCTGCTCCATGGGCAGAAGTGACCACGTAATCTTCTCAGGTCATTAGGCAGAAGGTGCCCCTCAGCCCTCTTGTTTCTGCAGCTGGCAGCTCTGCTGGAGATGCCCAGCAGCAGATTTTCAGGAATTATTATGGCATGAGTAAGGAAACTGAGCAGGAATCAGAGGGTTACACACCTGCATTCAGACACCCACACTTTTTGTGAGTATTGCAAAGGAGGGTGAGAATGAACAAGCAGGATTTACAAGTCTCCCTTTTCACATGGTCACAATTTGCAGCCCAGTGTGTTTGTGGCAGTTCACAGCCCACCAAAAGCCCAGGTGAATCAAATCCTTTGGGGGTTGGGAGCCTGACTGAGCAATGAACCTCTCCTGCTTCCAAATAATCACACCTTCATGCAACTGGCACTGTACTGTGCCACCCAGCAGCATGAAGAGGGGCTGGCAGTGAGGGCTGTAGAAAGCCCACCCACCCAAGATTGGCCTTCTCTGCTTCCCTTAAATGATTTTTGAGCACGAATAGGTCTTTTCCCTTAGCTTGTTAATCAGAAGACCCAGCCACAAATCCCACGAGCCTTCTCTGAAGAGATAAGGCAGTCGCTCCTCTGGCTGGATGTGGCGTTTCCTGGGGAGGATGGGGAGGTCTGGATAAGCTGTACTCCGCAGAAGTAGGGCTGCACACCCCCAGGGCTGCTCGAGGGGGTAGAGGAGACATCCATCCCGCTCCGGGGAGCGGCTGCGGAGAAAGCAGCTAGTGCCAGAGCCCCCCGGCGCCAGCTCTGGCAGAGGAGAGGCTGCTGCTCGCTCTTTAGCTTCGTCTGAAACGATTTGCAGCTCAAGCGCCCCTCTGAGAGCCGCTAACCTTTCGATGAGATTTGGCACCGTTATACTGCTTGGGTTAATTGGGAGTTAGAGAGAGTTCAGGAGTGACGCGGCTGCCTCCGTCTGTCGGTCCGTCCGTCCGTCCATCGATCCGCCCCTCCAACCTCCCACGCCTCGCTCAGCTCCCGCTCCCCGGCGCGCTGCAGGCAGGGATGGGGAGTGAAGCAGAGGTAAATGCCCCGACCCTCCTCTCCGTCTCTCCGGGCTCCGCTTTCCTCTCTTCGTCTCCTTCTTTTTCTCTGTATGTCCCGTCCCCCCTTTCTCCCCGATTTCAGCCGCCCGTAGAAGTCCGGAGTGGATTTCTTTTTTTTTTTTTTTTTTTTTTTTTTTTTTTTCCAGGTGCTACTGCAGAAAGTCTTTTTCTCCCTCTCCTGGAAAAGGGGCAGAAGCGAGCTGCCGTCCCGGGGGCTGGTTAGGGCGGCTCCGAGGTGCGCACCACCAGCGCAGGGGTGGGGGAGGCGTGTGTTGGCTCAGCTCCTGGCATTAAAACCGGATGGGCACAGCGGCACGGCGGCATTCCCTGCTCCTGTATCCCTCGGACCTCACCAGACCTGAACTCCTTACCATCCTCTGCATCCCCCGGCAACTCTGCGCAACGCCGGCACCCCCCCCTCTCTCAGTTTACTACTCATCTCGGTGTCCGACGAGGCTCAGCAGACCCCTGGCGTTCTGTAGGGTGTCAAAGTGAGGGGTTCCCCGAGCAAAGAGGGGGCACAGCTGCGTCCAGCAGCGGGAAAAGAGACTTCCCCAACCCGATGGCATCCCTGGCCGGAGGAACGGCCCGAGCCCCTCGCGGAGGACGAGGGTCCCACGGACCTCGCAGAGGAGTCCCTGCCCGGGGGCAGCCTCTCTGCACTGGCCCCGAGAACCTGGACTTACTTTCGAGATCCCTGTGGGGTTTTTTGTTTGGAGTTTTTGGTTGGTTTGTTGCTTTTTGGAGGGTTTTGTTTATTTTTGGTGGGCTTGGGTTTGGTTGGGGGTTTTTTTGTTGTTGTTGGGGTTTTTTATGTTGTTGGTTTGGGGTTTTGTTCGGGTTTAGATATTGGTTTAAATTTAATATTTGTTTACCTATTTATTTATTTATTTATTTATTTATTTATTTGTCTTCGTTTGGGATTTTTTCCCTAAGAGGTATCTACCCAGCCCGGCACATCCGTCACACTCTGGATGCTCAACGAGCAACCGAAAACCCGTCTCCTCCACCCTTGGCACGGTCGTAGATAGACTGGGGTTGGAAGGGACCTTAAAGATCATTGAGATAGCTGAAACTCCCTTCCTCTCCTATGTATCGAGGGGTGCTGGCTGGGGGTGCGGCGTCATGTGCGGCGGGGCCGTCTTAGGGCTCCCAGATGAGCTTTGGATGTGCTGGGGCAGGGGCGGAGATGTGTCAAGGCGATTTAAGGAAATATTCACGTACCAGACAGAGGTTTGGATGAATTTTCGTTCCTTCTTCCCTGATGCCCCTTGCAGCCTCCAGAAACAGGTGTTCTTCATGTCTTCTTTCACAAAAAACTCGTTTTAGGATAAATAAAATTAATAATAATAATAAAAAGAGAAAGAAATCGTTGGTTTAATCCCTCGAGGTGTTCGTCGTAGCAGTCATTTTCCAGTGGTGGGAAGAGGTGAAACAGCAGTTCCAGTGACGGCCAGAGCCCAATGCATCCTCCTCTGGCCGATTTTAATTTTCCCTGCTTAAACCACAGCCCGTCGAGACGATGGTAAACTCGGGGCGAAGCGCTTCCCCGCTCGGCTTTCTCGACCTATTTGTGCACTGACATGTAATAATTCCTCCGCAAAGCCTCCTCTGCTACCATCCAAAAGCCCCGTTTTTGCGGAGCTGGCTGTAGCAGCAGCTACCCCATCCTTGCACCGGGAGTCGGGAACAGCAGCCGAGGCACCTCTTAGGGGTAAAGACCTCATTGGGGATATTTATTTGGGGCGGGGGTTTTACGCCTTTCAGTCTCTTTGCACACAATTTTCTTTCAGATTCTGCCGGGGAGAAAACACAAAAAAGAAAAAAAAAGGTATTTAAGGAGGGTATTTAAGGTTTCTTTCCCTAGGAGTCGAGGAGGATTCGTTCCCCACCACTGCTCAGTGCCGCAGCCCACCTGCAACCGCAGCCCGAACGCTCCCTCTCCGCTCCCTCAACAACGTTATTGGGAAATAATTTAATGCTGGCTTTTCCACTCATCTGTAGTAAAACAATGCTCTTTTTTTACCTTCCAAAATAGCAAGCGAAACACAGATTCCAACCTCCCTCCCCCCGCCTTTCAAAGGATATATATATATATATATAAAATTTTATATTTTTTTTAATAAAACAACGATTTAAGTGCTCCCTCGCCGCAGAGGGGACGTGCTCTCCGCACACTGCTCCAAAATGCCATTAGTCCCCCTGCCACCCTGCACTTGTCTGTGTCACAGCACAGCACCGGGATATCCCGTTGCCGTTGCTGGCTGTGTTGACCGCTCATCTCGGAAAAATTCAAAATAAATAAAAAATCGTAAGACTTTTGACTGACAAAGGAGTATAAGCGCTTGGAAACAAAACTAAAATATCGGTATTTCATTTGAAGAAAGGAGAATCTCAGCATTAGCTGGGGGGGACGGAGAGCTCTGCACTGAGCATCCTGCCGGGTGCCGGTGCAGTGCTGGTGCGGTGCCGCCAGGCTGAGGGCCCCGACCAGGAGCGGAGCCCCGTGTCCCGCCGGTTTTGGAGCTCATGGATCGCGGGAATCATTACATGCAGCTGAGCTCTCGCTCCTTGTGCTCAAGTGGCCACGCACCGCTGTGCTCCCCGCGCAGGGTCCGCTGCCCAGACCGCCCTCCGCCTCCGAAGGGGCCGTGCATTTTGGGGGGCAGAAAAAAGCAAAAGAAGGGAGTGCGAGGAGGAAAATCCCGTTAAGAACCGGTCAATAGACGCCTGTCCGCCTCTTCAGCGGAGCTCTTTTGTTTCTCTGTGGGGAAGCGACTGGAGGCCAGGGGCCCGCGGGCGGG